TCCACTGCAAGCAAATATTGTTGTTAGGAAATCAAGATTTGGTATTTAAACTGTTTATTGCATTGTCAATTAACCGTCACTGACAGTAATCTTTGCCTGAAACTACAGGCACAACAATAACTTTCACCACAGCTTTATCTGATGCGCAGTTCCGTCCATCCATCGAGTTATCTTTGAACAAAATCTAAAAGTTGGTACTTGAATGTAAGAAGCTGTAACCAAGACCCGGAACGGTGTCGACATGGCCCCAAAAACCCCGCAAAGGTCTCAAAAACTTTTCAACTTCAAGCAATTGACGAACTGTCGTTCAGGCCATCCCATCTAATCTGTCAAAACACATAGTGTAAACCCGTCAAGTTGCTCTCTATAATTTATTAGGATAGCCCAACGCAAGGCCCGGACCAACACGTATTTACAGTCTACCCTCTAGTGACTGACCAAATCCACCCAGCAAGACACAGTAGGTAAGAAACCACTTCCCTTTTCAAACCACCTCTTGCTCTACCCTGCACTATGTATTTACAAAGTCCAAAATAAAACAAGACAATCATGATAAAGGACCATAACCAACTGAAACAAGGTATTCCGCTCACCAAAAATTTTAAAACTCAATCACAAAAACCTTAAATCTTTAACCTGCTTGTACATAACATTGAAAAAGAATAAAGTGGCATATCCGGTCCACAAAAAATGCTTTCCGACTTTCGCAATATCCCAGATCTTCACCACTCCATTTCCAAACTTGCTCCCGCTTAACAAGTATAAAAAGAAAACGAACCAATTCATGTACTAACACATATTTCATCAAACAGTGCAGAATTTGTGGAACCTTAAACAGCTTTATTCATAACGTCAGTTCCTTCATCAACCTCAAAAATTTAAAAATTTTCCACAGCTATGCCTTGCCATCCAACAGCATCAAGCAGGCAACACCTCCCATGTCACCTTCTGCAGTAAAAGAACAACTAAAAAAGAACTATACAAACGAATATTTTATCTGGAACAACAGAGTGCCGTTATAACAAAACAAAATCCAGGGATTATTTGAGCTCCTTTACTTGAAGTCCTGGCGGAAGAGACTGCTTCAGCTTTTCAGCTTTTTCTTTATCCTGAAAACAAATCAATGCTTCAAGAAGCATAGAAAGCTTTCACTTATGGTAAAAAAGATTCAATTATTATAGGCTTACAAATGAAACAAGACCTTCAGGAACTATTTGAGTTCCGGAAAAAAA